CCACACAACTTCCTCGCACACAACTTGCTCACACACACACACAACTTGTCACCACACAACTTCCTGAGACACAACTTGCTCACACACACAACTTGTCACCACACACCTTCCTCACACACAACTTGCTCACACACAAGTTGTCACCACACAACTTCCTCACACACAACTTCCTCACACACACAACTTGTTCACACACAACTTGTCACCACACAACTTACTCACACACAACTTGCTCACACACACTTGTCACAACACAACTTACTCACACACAACTTGTCACAACACAACTTACTCACACACACACCCATCCTACTAACATGCACTTACTCCTCACACCCAACTTGTCACCACACAGCTTACTACTCGCACTGCGTCTTGTCAACTTACTCACACACAACTTGTCACAACACAACTTACTCACACACACAACTTGTCACCACACAACTTACTCACACACACAACTTACTCACACACACAACTTCACACAACTCGTGGCACTTGGCGACATCGACCGTCACTTTGCGTGGCAGGCGTGGCACTTGGCGACATGGACCTCCACATGTGCACTTTGCGTGGCAGGCGTGGCACTTGGTGACATGCACTTGCACTCTGCGTGGCAGGCGTGGCACTTATGGCACTCGGCTGGCTCTGGTGGCGCGTTTGGGTCCCAGGTGACGCCGTGGACGCCGCGGCTCTTTGCGTGGCAGGCGTGGCACTTGGCGACATCGACTTTCACTTTGCGTGGCAGGCGTCAGGTGAATCAGATATAACAGGGTTGTTTAGCAGGATGTGCGTCGGACATTGTCTTCAACTATGTTCATCTATTTGGCAAATGGATTTGTTCAAGTCATGCATGTCTGGTTTTAGCAGACAGTGCGTCGGACATTGTTTGCAACTATGTCACTATGTTCAACGACTTCGAATTGTCGAAGTCATGCACTTTGTTCTTCAACTACTCGGACATTTCTGCTGTAGCCATTTCTACCGATGTGCTGTTCCTGTGCTTTTCGATCCAGGCAGGGACATTGTCACTTAATCATATCTAACAGGGTTGTTTAGCAGGCTGTGCGTCGGACATTGTTTGCAACTATGTTCAACTACTTCGACTTGTTGAAGTCATGCATGTCTGGTTTGTCGAAGTGTGTTGTGGCTATGTTCTTCGATGCAGGCTAGTGGCAGCTATTTCCGCCGATGTGCTGTACCTGTGCTTCTCGATTTAGGCAAGAACATTTTCACTTAATCAGATAACAGGCTGTTGTTTAGCAGGAGGTGCGTCGGACATTGTCTTCAACTGTGTTCAACTACTTCGATTTGTCCAAGTTATGCATACCTGGTTTGTCGAATTTTTGCACGTCTGTTGGATTTGCTTCACGCTTGCGTTGCCAGTTTGCTGGCAGGCTTTTTTGCCAGCGGAAGTAGCACTTTGAGGATTAGCAGTGCTTCCAGTGGTGAACCAGCAGAAGTTGTCAAGCAGAACAGTGTCAGATGTATACTGTATACATGTATATAACATAACCATTTCATCTGGCTGCCTTGACACGCCGTGTGGGGAGGTAGCCGTGAGAGTATGTCGAAATGATTTCTGCTGTCGTCGAGCCATTTCTTCCGATGTGCTGTTCCCGTGCTTTTCGATGCAGGCAGGGACATTGTCACTTAATCAGATAACAGGGTTGTTTAGCAGGCTGTGCGTCGGGCATTGTCTTCGACTACGTTCAACTACTTGGACTTGTTGAAGTCATGCATGTCTGGTTTGTTGAAGTTTTGCACGTCTGTTGGATTTGCAAGTCGGCGAGATCGGCGACCAGCTTGCGCAGAAGTGCACCGTGGGAGATGTCGTAGCTATTCAAGGCGGTTCCTTTGTGGCGATTCCAGCGCAGTACTCCACTTCACGCCTGCACTACCACCTGCGGCTGAAGGGACCTTTGGGCCTGCAAGTACGGGTGCAGAAGTTGCCGCAGCACCTTGGGAGGGGCTCCCAGCAGTGCATCCGCTGGTGCCGTTGCATGCGCTTAGTTCGGTGAAGGACGGACAACAGATCTGTGTGGCTGTGAGTGTGGTGGAGAATCCTGGCGCTGTCGAACGACATCCAAAACATGGCCCGGCAATGGTGTGCAATGCCATTGTGCAGCAGGACGCAACCCGCGTCAGGTGCTCTTTCTGGCATGAGCAAGCACAGGAATTGGCGGAGCAGCAGGCTGGCACTTGTCTCATGCTTTATCAGGTTCTGATCAGCAAATGCAAGGATGAGAACTCATGGGAAATCGGCAGCTGGCGTGGGACGACCATTCTGCCGTGTTCGCCGGAAATGGCCGCAGTGCTGTGCTTGAGCCGCAGTCTATGCGTGTCGTTTGGACGGTTGATTTTTCGTTTTAGTTTTTTGTTTTGGTTTTGTTTGTTATGGCTTATTTTGAGCGGTTGTCGGGAAAGGCGAGCTGGCACACAAAGACAATTGCCGCATGTTGACGGAGATTCCTGTGAAGGATTGGATCGGTTGCCCTGCCACGCCATCGTCGCTGAGCACTTTGGTGGGAGCTATAGTACCAGGACAGTTGCGGAAGTTGGAGACGGTCTTTGAGGTGGTGGGCCTGCAGGTGCTTGGCATCTCGTCCGTGAAAAGCGATACGGATCAGTGGCTCATCGATTCTTGTGTCAAATGCAAGAAAGCAGCACAGTGCGAGGCGTGGTGCACATTTGCATAGCCGCACACATGCGCACGCGTGCCTACGCATGTATTACACAGGTTGTGAACTATGTAACTATGCGTCATCCCCTTGTGTGGCGAGGCGCACCCTACCGAAGGCACAGAGGGACGCTTCGCTTTGCGGTTGGCTTTGGCTGATTCCAACTGCCAGTGCGCAGTCGTCCTCTACCACGAGCTGGTCCTGCGAGCGGCTGCTGACATGGATGCTGCTCTGCGGGAGGGAGTCCAAGATACGCAGCCGGTGCGTGTGCAACTCCGTGATCTCCTTCGCGCTGCACAGTGGCTGTGTCGCTTCACCTTCCGGGAGAATGATTACCAGCAGGCATTGGAGTTGGAATGTCGACACCTGACGCCTTTTCTGCGCACCAACCGAGCTGAAGCTGTTGTCGCGCCTGCAACCCTGAACAGGAAAGTGTCCCATTGCCAGATGAACAACGGTTGCCCAGTGGCACTATTAGATGCGTTGCAGGTCGATGCCCAGCTTGGATTGATTTCGGTGGGTGGGGTGGGGGGTGGGGGGGGGGGGGTGGTGGGTTGGGGGGTGGGGGGGGGGCCAGGGTGGGTGACGTGGAAGCTAGCTTTGCCAGATGCTTGGCGGCCTTCAATGACGCGCAGCTTCCCGACGACGAAGCTCTGCAGCAAGACAACACGTCCACGTCGGCCATGCGCGTCAAGCGCTCTGTCGATTGCTTATTGTCTACCCCGACTGCCACAGGTGAGCCGAGCCGAGTGAAGCTGCGGAGTGCTGGCCCTGCATCGGCGGTGGCTTGGATGCTGCGAGGCAATGCGGGAGAGACGCATTTCGTGGTGCTTGCTCACACCTCAGATGATGGCGAATGAATGGAGCTTGCTGTGGCACGTGCCTGTGGAAGCGCGTCGTGTGGAGGAGTCATAAGGTCAAAAGCCCACATGTAAACACTGACCTACGATCAGGCGTGGACTCCCATGAAGCGACTTGCGAGCGTCATGGAGCAAACGCCGGAAGACACGTCGCTGACTGAGGATGCCGCGTGAGCAGACGTGCGATTGACGCGCCGTGCGAAAATCTATCGTCGCTGCTACCGGCCCTGTGGTGTACGCGACTATAGATTGCCGCGCCGCTCCGTTCGAAAATCTATCGTCGCGGCTACAATTTTGATATCGCGCTTGGCACCGAAGAACAACAGCTGCTAATAACCAAGCATGAAAGATGTTCTCGAGCCGCACGTCTGTTGAACGTGTTTCGATGTGTCTGCTGAAGCTGTCATTGATCTTGAATCTTGATTGCCACGCCGGAAACTGTTGCTTCGCCGGCTCCCCAACGACTCATGATTCACCGCGCCATTTAGTTCTTCGTGCGTGTTCTTGCTGTCTGACTGGCCTGACCTGCCAGGTACCGCTGCGAAGCTCGTTCGCCAACCTCGTGCAACCATGATTCGACTGCACATTCCATCTTGAGGCGGATTGAGGCTTCCTGTGTGACGCACCTCCCACACACGCACGCAACTCATCACACGGAACTTGCCCGCGCACAACTTGTCCTCACACAACTTCTTCACACGCGACTTACTCACGTACGACTTACGCACACACACACAGCTACACCTAGGTGTCCTGGGTGGCAGGCATCTTGTCGAGGTGCTGAGATAGCCTAGTGTTGTTTCTTGGGGCGTAAACTTATCTGCTGCGGATGTTTTTTTTTGCTTCGTTTGATACAGACTACAGTAGGTCATCGCGCTTGAAAATGTTGACGATGATCTTTGCGTTTCTGCTTGTTTCCTTTAATCTGTCATGTGGCCAGGTACCTTTCCGTCTTCATCACGCACACGCCGCCGCCTCCACTAGTGGAAAGGCAATCCGCATGCGTGCGGCCAGCAGATTCGTTGTCCCAACTTTCAACGCATTCGGGGTTGGCAGCCAGACATCAAAGCAGCATTGTGGGATCGATGTTGGTGAGGCCTTTTTTTAACTCAAGCGTGGATGAAACATTTTGGAAAGCAGCTTTGCAGGGAGATCTGGACGAAACGCGTTCGAAAATCTCTCGTCGCTGTTGCCAGGCTTGCGGTGCAAGTGAGACAATTTTGATACCGCGATCGACAACGACGAAAAAAAGAGATGCGCGCAAGCATGGAAGATGTTTCTCATTGATGGATAACATGTCTGTTTGTTTCGCACCGATGTGTCGCTGGCAGGTGGCCACACAACGCACACATACACACATGCACGCACATACGCGCGCATTGTCACGCACGATTCTATCACACACATACACACCCCTTTTACGCACTTCCCTTCGACATACATTTGTTGCACACGCCGATCCTTCACCATCTCTTTTCTCTTCTTGCATTTCCCATCCCATCTTTACCTTTCTTTTGCTGCTTATTGGAAGAAGTTGACATGTGGGGTTATCGGGTCCTTTGATTTTTTACAGGTTTTTCTGCTACAAGTGTCTTGTGACTTTGCGAAAAGCGTGCAAATACTAGGATATTTGGACGTTAACCAGTCCAAAACACTGTAATTTACACTGTTTTCTTGCTTTTCAATGGTCGACATACCGCTATTTACAGGGTTTTGTGTTTACCTGGATCCTGGTGTGTAGCCTAAGCGGGTCTGGGGGGAAGCTTAGATGTGGTCAAAACACCGTTGTTTACAAGGTTTTCTGCTTACTACTTTCTCGTAACAACTGTGGAAACTGTCGCGTGACTGTGCGAAAAACGTGGGATCCTGAGGTTTCATTTTAGACCCCCAACCCTCTAGTCTAAAATGAATGTTCTTAGTAGTCTCCTTGGCATCCACTTGACCACCCTAAGCCTTTTGGGGGTTCCAAATTTTTGGATCTATATAAAACGAAGTTATCGACGCTTACATATGGAGCTATCAAGATACGACGTATGAATACGCATGAGCAAATTTGGCATTGATATGGTATTAGATTCTAGATAAAACGATAAAAACGCATTTTCTAATGCGAAACAAAAGAAAAAACAGAACAAATGGGGGTTGTTCATCGCTATGTTTCTGAGTGATCCTTCGGAAGCTCCCATCCCCTCCCACCCTATTTTTCAGGCTGACCTGTTAACGACATTTATTGATGAAATGCTCTATATATACTTGGCCCCCTGTCTAGCTACTGCTTTCTTTAGAAACCATATTTTTCAGGCTGAAAACTAGCGACCCCGCCGTTTCACAAAATATCAGGCTGAAATGCTAACTTTGGACGAAACCCTGAGCTTGACATTTGGCAAAACTATGCCAGAAAAAAAAAAATATGATTTTTTTCTTCTCATGAGCTGAATGCTGGCGCTTAGGGTGCAACATACAAAACTAAATACCGATGCTTGAAGTGTATGGAATTTTGCCCCCCCCCCAAGAAGACTAAAACCAGGTTTCCAGCTCCAAATTTTTAGCCCACACGTAGCAACGGGGATGTCCCAGGCTACAGGGGTCTAATGTGGTGTTCTTGTGGCATTGGTGGTGAAAAACTTCTTGCCATTAAAGGGCGATATCATTTCAGACCCTCCCCCTGATGTCTTTTCAACTTGGTGAGTGTCTCACCAATTTTATGCGAAGAGGAGGGTCTCTAAGACTTTATGTTAGTTGGGGGAGCTTTGAGATTTAATGTTAGAATTTAGAATCGTGTTTTTTGTGTGTAAACAAGTTTAAATACTTTTGCCAAGGTTTGTAAAAAACTTAATTAATTGGGCTCATGCTGTGCCTTTATTGCGCCATATTGGGTCTATCTTGGGTTGTTTGGAAGCGATTCGAGACCTTTTTTGGGTCATTTTCTTCGCGCTAAAAATTATGTAATTTTTAGCGCGAAGAAATTGGGCTTGGAACGGCCTACGTTGGGTGCATGTTGGGCTCACGCTGGGTCTTTACTGATACTGGGTCTATTTTGGGTCGGTTGGAAGCGATTTGGGGCCTTTTTTGGGTAATTTTCTTTGCTCTTGAATTCACCAAATGAACACTGGCTTTCGTTCCCCCCTTCTCAGGTGTATATATATACATATATGTATATATATATATATACATATGTATACATACACATATATGTATATATATATATATGTATATATATATTATATGTAAGTCGATGTATGAAATCAACTGCAAGGAATCCCAGAGGTAACAACGGCTTTGTCCTTCGAGACTCTCGATTCGGATTCTCCTGTATACCACACCTGGTCATGCCCACTTCAGAGATAGTGCTCCCTTCTGAAAGAGGCTGAAGACATTCTTTGAGGATGACAGTCCTGCAGAAGCGTACAAACCTCCAGCTTCAAGCCAGGTGGGCTTTGCCGTCAGCTTCAGCATCTGACGCTTTTTGCCAAGACACCCCTTTTGCCGCAGGCTGTAAAGAGTGTGCAGGCAGACCTCAATGAAATACGCTCATTGACAAGGCGAGTTGATCTTTGAGCTCACTGGAGGCTGTGTTTGTTCATGCCTGCTGCTTTGACCCATCTAATTGGCTTGCCAGGTATACCAGAAGCTCCTGGTTTCGCACATTCTCAGTTGTAGGGTCTCTGACTCTGGCATGCGTGCTACAGCCTTGGTTTCTTTTTTCCAGCAGCGAGGCTGGACTAAACACACTTTAGACTTTTGTCACTTGAAAATTCAGGAAATTTTGTTTTTTTTCATGATGCTTCAGGAAATTGAAACAACTGGGAACTGGAATGAACCGATAGCTGATCTATGTCAAACGGAAATTCCTCAGACTCTGTGCTTTGCTTTCAATATTGAGCTGTGGCATTTGAGACTTCACAGGTGCTCCTCCCAGTTGCTGGAGCTGTGCTGACAATTTTCGTGGCTGTCCATCG